ATGGAACCAACCCAAATGCCCCCATATGGATGAATGGATTGAAAACCTGTGACACAAATACTCTATGGAATACTATTCAGCCATGAAAAACAACAAAACCCTAGCTTTTGACAGAAAGTGGAAGAATATGGAAGATTTACTGCTGAGTGAAGCAAGCCAGGCTATGAAGGAGAGACATTTTATGTCCCCACTTAATATATACTGAGTGTCTACACTCTATGACTGAAACTGATTGACTAAAGATATACAAACACAAGATAAAGGGTGTGAATGCCAGATGTGGTGTGTGTGCAGGAGTGGAGCCTAGGGAAGAACATCTGGAGGAGGGATACAGAGGCAGAGCATTGATGGGATGGGGCAGTATGGTGTTATCTGTTGAAGATATTTTGATCAACTGGACTGGGGAGAAATGTTCACATATTGAAATGTTCACTTTTTAAGCTAAACAATGTGATTGACTGTATATAAAAAATAAGTAAATAAAAATATATGGTGTATATATACACACAATGTGATTTTTTTTTAATTCATGCATCTAATTTATCTGTCCTTCTGCATTAGTCCATTGAAGATCCCATAACAAACATGCCTTCTACTGGATAATTTATAATCAACGTAACTTTATCATCAACAGTTCTGGAGGCCAAGAAGTCTAAGATAAAGTTAAACAAAGATTCAAAGTCTGGTGAGAGATCATTCCACATAGATTGTGCTTGTTATCTGCTTCTTCACATAGTAGAAGGGACAAGAGCACTCCCTTCAACTTCTTTTGTAAGGGGACTAATCCTATTTCTTAGGTTGGAGACATAGTGACTTAATTGCTTTCTAAACAGTTTAGTCTCTTAATGCTATCACATTGAGTATTCAGTTCCAATACATAAAGTTGTGGAGGATATCCAGGCTATAGCACCTCCCTTTCCCAGTTAAGTTTCAGACATAATGTCTAAACACTTTTTATTTTTGAGAAAGGACATTCTTGTTATACTTTAAATCTCCTCCTAATTTCTTCTTGACAACTGGACAGGGTTTATAAGCTTTTCTTTAGATTGGAGATAGTTAAAACTGAATAGTCAAGAACTTGGGGGATACAGATAATGATGGTAACTTCTAAAATAGCTGCAATAATCCTGACTTCCTGATATTTATGCCGTTTGTGGTCTCCTTCATCAAATCAGGGCCAGTCCCTAGGACCAATAGAATAGCACTGTGTGTGACCGTTCAGCCTATGTCATGCCAAGTACTGCAGCTTCTCTCTGTCCTCTTGGATCACGTGCTAAGGAGTAGATGGCTGCCGGTGAGGAACTTCTCATGGTCCTGTAGAAAGGTCAATCTGGAGAGCAACTAAAGCTACTCACAAACAAAAAGAGCCAACTAGCATGTCCTATAAGGGAGGCAACTTGAGGCCAACTGATCCATTCAAGAGATTGGCATCTGCAGCCCCAAATGACATTTGATTGCTTGACCAGGCACCCTAAGGCAAATCTGCTCAGTCATTCTTTCCTGTATTCCTGATGTCCAGAAAGTGAGAGGTCATTTTTTGTTTGTTTGTTTGTTTTAAATCATTAAGACTTATAATTATTAAATACAAGTAGACAACTAAAATAAAGTTTACTCAAAGGACAACTGTACCTTGACTTTTATTCCTGATTGAGAAATCTAAATATTGTAGAAAAATGGGGCAATGGCAGTTATAAGGGCCACGAAAACTTGAAGTTTCTTAGGATTTGAATTCAGAAAATGATTATGGCTTTATTTCATGTGTGACATATATTTGTTTGGATTTGATAGACACTAGGGAATTTCAGCTGTATGGGCTCAAATTTTAATTTTTAATTTTTTTTATTAATTACTTTTAAATTTTTTTTATATTTATTCAATCACATTGTTTAGCTTACAAAGTGAACATTTCAATATGTGAACAATTCTCCCCAGTCCAGTTGATCAAAATATCTTCAACAGATTATACCACACCTCCTCATCCTGTCAATGCTCTGCCTCTGTATCCTCCTCCAAATGTCCTTCCCTAGGCCCCACTCGTCCACACACACCACATCTGGCATTCACACCCATCTCTTGTGTTTCCATATCCTTTAAATTTTTAGACAAATCTAAAGTTATTTAAGCCTTACAACACAGAGAACTTTAAAATATGAAGAAAGTTTTACTTAACAGTATAATGAAGAAATTAACCTCAAATGGTACTTTCACAGGTAAGAATTCAACCAAAGAAGAGTAGGAAGAGAAGTCTACATATGCTGCCATGGAAAATAGGAATGAAGTTTTGAATTGGGAATAATATACCTACACATACTCATATATGTATATATATACACAGCATCTCACACAAGTATATAAATATATCTATGTATATACAAATTATACATACATATAATAAATATAAGTTTATATACATACATATAATTTTTCTATGCAAGCATATAATTATATTATTATAATGTATATTTATATATTATCATATGTATATATATATATATCATCTTCAATATATGTGTCTCTTTGTTTCTATATATAAAAGTATCAAAGAAGATGTTACTAGATTGAATCTTTAAAAAAATTTTAGAGTGATTTTTACTATGGGGCGTGTGTGTTCTCCAGACAGAGAGACAGAAAGCGAGAAATCATCCCCCCAGGGAGGTTAGCCATGCCATGATCCCTTCTCCTCCATTCTCCTTTCAGGATCTTGGGCATTCACGCACATGCACCCAGCATGAGTTTTATTCACTGGGTCCAGGACTCTAACCACAGTAGATTACCTGGGAGTCTAGTGACACAACCGCTATGCCATCTGCTAGTCCCACTAGATTGAATCTTGCCCTAAAGATATTATAGACTGTATGTGTAAATATTCTTGTATAAATATTATTTTCAAATTATATTTAACTCATGGTTTCTGGTGTCTTCCTTCATTTTATATTGTATATTTGTGTTTTCTAAAAATTTTGATGTCCAATCTGAGAAAATGATGGATTTTTAAAAATTACTTTTTGAATGCATGTATTCTAACAAACATGATGTACTTATAAACATGTTAGTCTTCCTCTGTCTCCAAAGTTTTTGCTGGGATAGTTCTAATTAGAAATACTCTATCATATTGTTATGTCATGTGTTAGACCAATGTGTCTTGATTTTTTGTTTTTGGAGAAAAAAGTTATTGCAGATTATTTCCTACTATGCTAAAAAGCTTACGCAAAATGAGAGTGATCTATGAAAATAGGAGAGAAATGAACAGAAGCAGCCAACTGGCACCCATGTTTGGGGCTCACATGCAAATCAAGTTATTCTTTATTTTTCAACACTTCCAAAATTCTTTTAAAGCCATATTTGAAGCTGGATAGCAACTCTATATGAAGACATCAGCGATATAAATACGGACAGCATTGTGTTGGGTAGAGCAATGCCAGGAATTGACAGGACCAACAGATAAAATCAAAGCAATTAAGTTTCCATAAACACTTGACTTGGTGTTGAACCAACACTTTTCTTTATAAACAGAAGCGTAACAAGAAATAAATGACAATCATACATTTCCAATATATAAACCATGCTGGTTTGGTGAAGTAACAGAATTCTTTCCCAGCTTTCTTCTTACAATGTTAGGACAGGGAGGGGAGTTTTTCAGTAATTTGTGAGTTTTAATTCAGAGATCATTTGAAATTCTATCTGATAAAATGTTAAAGAATTTACAGATAAGATTTGATATGTTTTTAGTTTAATGCCCAAACAAAACGACCATTCTTTCAACAACAACAACAACAAAAATTCTTTTTCTGGCTATATAGATAAGCAGTATTTGACTGCCATTCGGTTCTTTCCTGAAAACTCTTTAGCAAGGCCAGAAAATTCTGTCTTAAGAGCCTCCAATCTTTCTTTTAGTTTTTATTTACTGACTTCCACCCCATACTAAAACAAAAATAACCTATGGCTGCACATGTCTTACCTTATTTTCTTCCCTTGTAGATACTTAATTACCTTTTCCAGGGAAGATCTGAGGAAAATGTTTGCTAAATCGTGATGTGTTGTTTCTCCCTAAGAACAGAGACCTAATCCTTAATCGGAGAAGGACCAGAATCAGCAAGTCATATGGGGAGAGTCTTCCGATATTACTGACCACACATTCGCATATAAAGATGGTTCCCAATTTTTCAGAATAAGATAAACGAAAAACAAATGAAAAATCAGATAATCTGCTCATACTTGGTTTCAGAGTGATTTTTCTCTTCTCATATGTGAGTTCTGTGTGTATGATATATACTTCTTTAAATGTCTTATTTATTTCTCTTCATCTGATTCAAATAACACCAGGAATATTTTGTGCTTTATTATTTAGCATTTATTATAATATAATTCAATATTTGTAAACTTCCCAGAGTAGTTAGTAGCTCCCACATCACTTCTGTATAAATATTAGAATGGTCCCATATTACAGATAATGTTTCTGTTAAGCAGGAAGTTCCTTAGAAAAATAGGACATTTATCTTTTTATCTCCAGAATCGTTCAAAGTGCCTTACATATCAAAGTACCACTGTCATAAATGCCCTGTATGTATTATGTACCAGGCACTAGCTTGACAATTCCATGAGATTGTATAGTTTATATATTTGGTTATTTTTTCATATCCTCAGCACCTAGCAGAGAGCCTGGTTCACAGTAAGACCACAATAGAAATTTACTGAATGAATGAATGTAATAAAGTTGATACATTGCTACCCTTTTCTGAATCATTAGCTTACTCTCCCTTTCCTCTTGCTCTTTGACTGTGGCTCTACTGAAACACATAGTTAATCTCCGCAGCTTGTCATCAGTGCAAAAGTTGGAGTGGTGGGGCCCATTGATGATATTGCCTGTGTTATAAGCGAGAAATGTACCACACCATGACTTGTAATCTTCACAATCTCTAGATTTGTTCTGATTATTTTGTATTCATGCCCTGTATCTGCTACAAATTCCTTGATCTATTTTAAGCATTTTCCTTGTACTGACTGCCTCACTGAGCAAATAAAGATCTGTGGAGTGTCATTTAAAGGCAGGAGTACACTATATAGCCCAAGAGCTGGTTCTCATCAGGACACAGATTTGCAAGTTGTGTGGACTTGGGTAAGTGATATATTATATCTGAGTTTTTGTTCATTTATCTAGGTGAAAATGAGATTATATAAGCAAAACCTCAAAAGCATTATTACAATGTTAAATAAGAGTTTACATGCAAAGTGTTATTCTAACACCATTGTAATGTAAAAGTTAATGTTAGTTATTCCATACTTTTAATAAAAGCTTTTATAAAGTAAAACATGCAAAGTAATGTTATTTGAATTCATTCTCATGACCTTCTTGGATCAGGACTCTGAAGAAGATTGTCTCATGCAGGGCCAATTACCATATAGTCAGTCATATAGATCTGAAAGTGCCAAAGTAGGCATCTTTCATTTCGTGAACTCCTTGAAACTGCTGCCAAAATAAGCAGGCAACAGAAGGGGGCCATAATCCAACAGGTATAGGCCCTCAGTCTTTTATAGCTGAAGGCAGACTGGTTTTAAATTTTATCTCAAGAGAGTTGCTAGACAGTGCATGAATTATGAACACTAACGTTTTTGCACTACCAAGGTTGTAAAGCAGCCTTGGGGCCAACAGGTGGCATAGTGATTAAGGGCACTGGACTCTCACATGGCCAAACACAGTTTGAGCCCTGGATCCGTCAGTTTGCTTCCCCCCATTCCCCCCTCCACTCTCACTCTCGCTCTTACTCTGTCCCTCTCTGGTCAAATTTAAATAAATAAAGTTAAATAAAATAATTTTTAGAAAAAAACAGCCTCTATCAGAACCAGAGCACCACAATGGAGAAGTTCAGAACTTGAGAGGGAGGGAGCATTTTGAGCTATCCAAATTCCTTTCTGTAGTCCATCCACCTGTCAGTCTCCAATCATGCTTCAAGCCCCCATTGTCTTCATAGTAGTTTTTGATCTTTGGTACACAAAAGTGATCTGAGCCTTCCTTAACTACTTCCTCCCTCTGGACCTTTCCTCCCCACTCAGTTCCTTTCCAGTTCCCATCTTCAATATACTGAGGCTTGTTATTCTTTGAACCATTCTTCCAACTCTGCTTTTAGAAAATCCTGTCTTCACTAATATATACCAAGGCTACCAACGTCAGTCTTCCCCTCATTTTCACAAGGACCTTTTATATATGATGCAATGGAACAAGTGGTCTGTATTTGAGAGAAGATCAAGATTATATATGATGCAATGGAACAAGTGGTCTGTGTTGGGGAGATGATCAAGAAAAAATGTCAACAAAAGAATTTAGAAAAGAAGTGATGGTACACTGCAAACAATAGGAGATTGTCAGTAAGAAATCTCGATCTTATTTTTTACAAATATAGGATAGTTTTACGATTTTGATCTGTGATTAAATAAGGTAATATTTACATTTAACTCAGTAGCTCATATCAGAATGATTTTGCTTATAATGAGATATCCATGAAATTTCACATTGACCTACACCTTTTATAAAAATCATCTTTTCCACATTCAACTGCATTTGAGCATTTTCACAGATCAGGTTCCTATATATGTGAATTTATACAATCCAAGAAGAAAATGATAGCCAACCTTATTAAAACAATAATCAAAAGACTGAACAGACACTACGCAAAAGATGGTGTCAAGCCAGCTGGTAATCATAAAAATGTCCTCAAAATTATTAGCTATTAGACAAATATATGGTAAAACTTAGAATAAAATAGCATTACAGAAACATAATTGATAAAATGGGAGGAAAACTGAGAATACCAATAATAGTTAAGAATATGAAACTAGTGGAAGTATGAATTGACACAACTTATTTGAGAAAATATTTGACAATATCTACTTAAGGAAAATACATGTATATCACACAACCCAACAATTTCACTTTCGGCTATATATGTTGTTTTAAAAAAGTGAAAAACAGTGTCTACCAAAAGATAAATATATAGCAAATGCCCATAGAAGTTTTATTCTTAGTAATTCTAAGCTAAAAACAGTCATAATGCTTATGTATACTAGAATGGGTGAATCATGCTGTATGCATACAGTGGAATACTACGCAACTATTAACAAATACGATCTTTTTCCACATACATACAACATGGGTGAATATCATAGGTATAATATGGGGTGAAAAATATGAGACACTAAAAATAAACACTCCACTATATGAACTTTAAAAACCAATAAAACCGGGACCAGCAGTTAGCGTAATGGCTATGTTGCTTGACTTCCATGTAGTCAACTGCGTTTCGAGTCCCAGACCCGGTGGCTTAAACTCATGCTAGGCACATGTGCGAGCGTGCCCAAGATCCCGAGAGGAGAATGGAGGCGAAGGGATTGCGGCATGGCCATTTCCCCTGGGGGGTGATTTCTCGCTTTCTGCCTCCCTGTCTTTCTCGCAAGTGCACGTGCCCTATAGCAAAAACCTCTCTAAAAAAAGAGAAAAAAAAAAAACAATAAAACTAACCCACAGTTTTAGTTAATCATAGTTTTTACCCTTGGAGTCTCTACAATCTGGAAAAGGGCAGAAACAACCTGAGTAGATATGGAAATATTTTATTAATAAATATTGATTTTGATAGTATTTACACAACTATATACATATTTATGAATTTATCAACATTTAAGATTTAAAACCTCTCTAAAAAAAGAGAAAAAAAAAAAACAATAAAACTAACCCACAGTTTTAGTTAATCATAGTTTTTACCCTTGGAGTCTACAATCTGGAAAAGGGCAGTAACAACCTGAGTAGATATGGAAATATTCTATTAATAAATATTGATTTTGATAGTATTTACACAACTATATACATATTTATAAATTTATCAACATTTAAGATTTGTTCCTGGGGGGTGATTTCTCGCTTTCTCTCCAAATAAAAAAAAAAAGATTTGTGTTTTATTATTTATAAGTTGTATGTCAAAACACTTTTAAAAATAAATAGGCCATTTGCAAGTAGCACAGGTGGTATGGTACCTCTATGTAATCCTGGAGCAATATGAGAAGGCCCCAGGTTTGACTCCCAGGTCAATCTGAACTTGGCAGGCACACCTGTCAGTGCACCCATGAGCCTGGTTGACTGGTAAGTGGGAGAAGCGGGTGCAGATCATGAGACCCTGTCAAAGGTACCTGTTCTTCTCTCTCAGGAGAGAAGAAAACAAATTTAAAAATAATTAACTAAATAATAGACTCACTGTGATAAAGATTTTTTCAAAGATAGAGGATAAATGACTTGTGGAGTTTATTATCACCAGTTCTCTGATTGAAGTAAGGAAGGGACTGTTCTTATAAGTGTTTTATGAGAAGGTCATGATCTAACAACAGCATTTTTTATATATGAGAATGTACTTCCAAGGCTATGCCACAGGGAAGTATTCAATTCTCTTCTCTTTGTCCTCATCTTTGATCATTCCTCCCACTAAACATTAACTTTCAGTTGTTCATGGTTCATTTATCAATAAGAAACACAATCTGAAACTAAAAAGTAAAGAAAATAGATTTAAATAAACGTACTGTAGATTAAATTTCTGTCATTATTACCTAAAAGTATTTCAAGAATATCGGCATAAAATTGCCTTTTGACTTTTGTGTATGAAATAATCATATTAGGAAGGAATTGATGCTAAAGCCAATGAGGTGACGCTCCTTCTTCTGTAATACTTCTGCTCCAAAGGGCTGCTTTACCAGACTGGAAGCAATTACATCATTTTGTGGTTAAAATTGCCTGCTTGGTTTTTAGATTTCCGGTCCTCCAGGCAGCGTAGAATGAAATCACCCTGGAAGCCTAGTCCTGGTCCCAATGTTCCAGTGAATATGCCTCTGTCTATATCTTCAGGATCTTTTACACCTCCGACCATTTATATTTTCACTCCAACAACCTCTACTCAACCCCGAGTCAGGCTCTCCAATTCTAATCTCTATCTGCATCTTTGTTGCATCAACAATATTCACTGTTCGCCAAAACCTCATCTGTTACATGCCATTTTTCATACCTTCAACCATCCTCTGGTGCCAAATTGTAATCTGTATCTCCTAGGACTATCCCAGATGCCTAACTCTGTAACCTCAAGATGCTAAGCAAAGATAACCTTCATGATCACCTAGATCCAATTCTCATTCTGGTGTGTTTAATAAACTTCTGATGCCCATGTATTAACATTTACCTTCATGTTTTGACTCATTTGTCTCAAGTGATTACTAGAATCTTAAGCAAACAAAGATGAAATTCTTGTTTTTCTTGCAATTTCTATTCTCTGAGGGATTTCAGGTCAAGTGCTCACATTCTTCCTGTTTTCACACTCTTGTCAAAATCTGGACTCGAAAATCCTGGAACACTTTCTTGACAATTTACTTTCAGCTTAGTTGCTTTAAGCTTTGATCAACTAAAGCACTTTCAGCAAGCTGAACATGTAAAACGAAATGTAATCACAGTTTACATCAACCATCCCAGAATGACCGTGAAGAGGTCACAGTAAGTTTTCTTGTGGCTGCTTTCAATTCTTGTACAGGATTTAAATTCTGGCCTTTAATTATATATACAAGGTATTGTATTAAATATTGTATATATCTTATATTATAAAACTGATGTTCTCACCCCCTTTGCGACAAAAGAAAGCTATTATATCTGCATGTAAGATATTCAGGTTGCATTTATACATTTTACTGTATTTTTTAAAGGCCTTCTATCAGAATTAGCGTCTACTTGTGAAATACACTATGCTTTGAATTTGGGGTTGTGAAGTATACTAGGCATAGTGCAGCATTTAAAATGAACTATATTAGTTAACTCTAAAGAGTTGCTTGTTTCAGGGGACCAGCAGTTAGCATAACGGCTATGTCGCTGGATTCCCATATAGTCGACAGCGGTTCCCAGCCCAGACCCGGAGGCTTAAAACTCAAGCCAGGCACATGTGCGTGCATGCCCAGGATCCTGAGAGGAGAATGGAGGAGAAGGGATTGCAGCGTGGCCATCCCCCCCGGGGGGGGGGGATTTCTGTCTCTCTGTCTCTCTGTCTGGCGAGCGCACGTGTCCTATAGCAGAAACATAAAAAAAAAAAAGAGTTGCTTGTTTCATGCAGTCCCATGAATTTGCATATCCTCTGTATCTGCAACGTGTCAGACATTATTCTAAACAGAAAGAAGTGTATTTCAAAGACCTTGTGGGTATAGCAGTCATAGTTAACAGATCAAAATTTAGGACAGAATCTAGCACAAAATAATAGTATTTCTAACATCAGGATCTGTAAGATTTTTATTTTTTGACATCATATTGAAATAACGGGTTGTGTGGTACATACGTGGTTCAGTGGCTCCTAAGGTCTGACACAGCTGATTATTATAACTGTACAAAATAAATTAAGTTATTACATATTTACTTAATAATAATTTTGTATAAAATACACTTAGAAGTAAAATTAGATTCATATCATCCTAAAATTAAGAAGTTCACAGGTTAAAATAGATTTTCAGTTCTGGAGCTCAAAATCTATTGTAATTCATGAAGAAAACCCTAAAAGTTATAGAAATGTTTGTGACAAAATAGTCACAAGAGCATTACTTGAAAAGAAAAAAAGCCTAAAAATCAAACTATAGTCAAAATCTTAAATAAATTATGTAAAAATAAATGAATAAATAAATAAATTAGGTTATTCAGGTTTCAAACTAATGCTCATAATGAATATGTAGTAACAATACAAATTCTTGGGAAAAGAGGTTATGATATTTTATGTTTTAATGTGCAAATCTAACTAAGTATTAAATTTGTACATGAGGGAAAAAAAGACCTAGAAGGCAATCCTACATTGTCAATATCAATTTGGCTGGTGTGAAGCAGGGGAATTCTTTTTTTTTTTTTTTATTGGAGAGGTTTTCGCTATAGGGCGCGTGCACTCGCCAAAGAGACAGAGAGAGACAGAGAGGTAGAAAGTGAGAAATCACCCCCCAGGAGGGATGGCCACGCCACAATCCCTTCTCCTCCATTCTCCTCTCGGGATCTTAGGCATGCACGCACATGTGCCCAGCGTGAATTTAGCCCACTGGGTCCAGGACTCGAACCGCGATCGACTATGTGGTAGTCCAGCAACATAGCCATTACACTAACTGCTGGTCCCAAAGCAGGTGAATTCTTGATATGTTTCTTAAAATTTTTAAATTAATTTTTTTGGGTTATAACTGATTTTTTTTTTCTTTTTTTGGAGAGGTTTTTGCTATAGGGCACGTGTGCTCGCCAGAAAGAGAGAGAGAGACAGAGAGACAGAAAGCAAGAAATCACCCCCTGGGAGGATGGCCACGCCACAATCCCTTCTCCTCCATTCTCCTCTCGGGATCTTAGGCATGCACGCACATGTGCCCAGCGTGAATTTAGGCCACCGGGTCCGGGACTCGAACCGCGATCGACTATGTGGTAGTCCAGCGACATAGCCATTATGCTAACTACTGGTCCCAGAGTTATAATTTAGCCATTATGCTAACTACTGGTCCCAGAGTTATAATCGATTTATACATTAGTATACACCCAAAGAAACATCATAACACTCAAGATAACAAGCACACATCACCCAAAAATTTTTTCTTCAGAAAATATAATAATAGAAGTTATAGCCAGCTTCATAATGGAGACTGTGAGGTTTAATTTGGGGTGTCAACTTGACTGGATTGAAGGATGCCTGGAAGACTTGAAAACATTGTTTCTAAGTATGTCTATGAGCGTGTTACTAAATAAGGCTGTCATGTGAGTCAGTGGGTTGAGAGAGGAGGTCTGCCTTCAAAGTAGTTCGGCACCATCCAATGAGTTGAAAGCATGAAAGGAACAGAGGAAGTGAGATTCTGTTTCCTTTCTTCCTTCCTGTCTCTCCACCCTTCTTTCAGGAAAATGCTGTGTATTCCACTTCTGTATATTCTGCCTGCTTAACTCTTGATCCTCCACTCAGCCCTTGGCTGTGTTTGATCGTTTTAGCTCCGGATCTTTGTGTCCCATCTCCTAGCCACATATACTCCAAGTTCTTTAACCTTTAGGCTCTGGACTTATACCAGTGGCCCCCTGTGGGTGCTAGGGCCTACAACTTCCTGAGAGTCTTCTTCAAGTTTCAGATTAGAATTGTACCATCTTTCCTATGTCAGTCTTTCTACTCTTTCCTCAGTTTTCAGGCAGCATATTGTGGGACTTCTCCACCTTGTGAGAATGTGAGATAATTCCCTTTTAAATATATGTCTATTCCATTGGTTCTGCTTCTTTGGGAAACCTTGTCCAATACATGGACTAACTTGAATATACACAAATTACTAGTACAAAGATTATACGTATTTTCTGTCAGTGATGGGAAATTCTGATTTAATTTTGCATTGCATTCTTTCCACTATACAATGTATTATAAACTCATTGTTTTCAAACAACACAAATTATTCCCTTATAGTACTGGAGGTCAAAAATCTATGTGGATCTCACTAAGCTAAAATAAAATCAAGATGATCTAGAAAATAATCTGTTACCATTTCTTTTCCTGCTTCTAGACGTTTGTGTTCTTAAGCCATGGTCTCTTCCTCTGTCTTCAAAGCCAGCAGTCACAGGTTGAGTCTTCCACATGTTGACTCACTGACATTGACTCTTTTGTGTCTCTTCCACATTAAGTATCCTTAGATTACATTGGGCACAGTGGATAATATAGGATGATCTTCCTGCTTAAAATGATTAGCAATATAAAGTTCATCTACTGTTCCCTTTTTTTTTTTTTTTCCACACAGTATAAATATTCACAAGGTCCAAGGATTAGGACATTTACACTTTTTTTTTTTCCACACAGTATAAATATTCATAAGGTCCAAGGATTAGGACATTTACATTTTAGGAAGTCAATTATCCTTCTGATCACAGTTCTATATTTCTCTCAGGGCCCTAAAATCGAATGTATTAAAACTTGTTTTAATGTCACAGGTCTCTTTTTGCAGGAAATGCAACCACATGTAAAAGTGGTTTAAAAAATTTTATTAGAAACCATTATTTCATGAATTAAGAATAATCAAAAATTGTGTTACTTTTCTTTTCAGAAATGTCAATGAAACATTTCTTGTTTTGGGCTACTGCTGCTGGCTTCCTGTCCTATTTGACCATGAAAGTATGTGAGGGTTGTATGTTTCATAATTACTTTCTGGGCAAGGAGAAAAGATAACCTTTTTATAGAACTCACTATGTTAAAGGCACTGCTGCAAACTGTTATAGCCATTATTCAGCTAGATCTCACAACAGCCCTATTAGACAAGTATTATATCTAACATGTTACTACAGAAGAGAGAACCATAGAGGGGGGAGATTCAGTCATATGACTAGGGAGGTAATTAGGAGTTAGCAGGGCCTAAAACTAAAATGAATCAATTTAGCTCTGTGAATCCATACCTATTTTATTATAGCCCCTCTAGATAATAAGTAAGTTGAAGGGAGTCAAGTGGTCATACAGTGGTGACACAACTGGACTTGCATAGAAAGTATATGGGTTTGTGTCTTAGGAGTTTCCTGACTGGGCACACATACCCCTGATCCAGGCCAGATGAGGCTGTGGGTAGATCATGGCAGGAGGAT